CACACACGGCACCACACCTGCGCGTCGGCACTCTCTCTCTCTCTCTCTCTCTCTCTCTCTCTCTCTCTCTCTCTCTCTCTCGCGCGCGCGCGCGCGCGCGCGCGCGCGCGCACGCATGCGTTCACTCCTTCGCAGTGAAGGTGGGGAACGCTGGACGCCCATTGCACGACTGTGCCGCACGTGAACGCCGCGCACGCTTTATACCGGCGCACGACGATTTTTTATTATTATTATTATTATTATTATTATTATTTATTTATTTATTTATTTATTTATTTATTTATTTATTTATTTATTTATTTTCATGACTACCCCTTCAGCCCCCCCTGCGCAAACGCGTCAAACGCGTTCAGGGCCGTTCATTGAATGCGCGTTCACTGCGTTCATAAACTGAACGCGGAACGCGTGGTAACACAGCTTCTGGGACCCCATCCCACTCCGATCAGGAAGTCGCGTTGGGCGTGAGGTTTGGGCGTCACAAAGTACATCGAAGATTCCAGTCTCGACCTGGAGCTCTACACTCACTTTTCCCAAAAATCCTTGGCACACCCCATGGCATGCTTTTCGGGCCCCTTCTGCATTTTTGGCCACAATGTAAAGGAAAGCTGCGTAGGGCGTGAGGTTAGTATTGAGCTGACATGTGTCGGTTCCAGATTGATTGACAAGTGAACTTTGTCGAAATGATTGTGGAGACGTAGGTTGAACCCCGCGGCTGGCCTCACCCTACTTCCATTGATAGGATGAGCAAAATTGAATGAATCTTCCACTACAACATGGAAATATACAGGTACTTATTTTGAAGAACGAGGTCCCCCACCCCGTAGTCCCCGACGCGCGGATGCTAATGGCGGGGCTGCGTTCAAAAATTTTGTGCCACGTGGCGCGTAGCGTGTTTAAACGCGGCCCCTGCCCGTTTGAACGCACACGCGCGTTCACAGCTTTCAGAACGTCCAGAGCCCCCTCGGACTGCCTCTTTCCCACTGCCGGCCCTCCACGCCCCTGTCTCGTCCCTCGTACGAAGGCCGTCTGTACGGCAGTAAGACAGCGTTTGAACGCACATGCGCGTTCACAGCTTTCAGACAGTCACATAGCCCCCCCAGACTGCCGCTTTCCCACTGCCGTCCCTCCACGCCCCTGTCCCCACCCTCGTACGGAGGCCGTCTGTACGGCCGTAAGACGGTTCATATGGGCGTTCGTACGGCCGTACGTACAACCCCCCGTACATCATACGGTGGTTGACACAGGCACAGTGTGTACATGCTCAATAGGACGATAACATTCAAGTTGCTAAAAAAACACTATACAGCCACTCAGAGTATTAACATCCACCACGACCTTCCGATGTGAGCCAAACCTCCGAATTTACCAACTGGCCTAACTAAGTTGGTACACCACTGAACTGTTGAAATACAGTCCGGAGTTTGAAGTCTACTGGAAGCAGATGAGTAAAACATTACAATTCTGAATTAGCAAGGGCCGGTCATCTGCATGATGATAGTATGTCAAAACTGTAGCCCTTTCAAGAAAAAGAAAAAAAAAACCTCCAAGTTTAAAACCAAGGAACAAGTGCGTCGAAACAGACCAACAGTTTTTAACAAACCCACAATCTCGAAATCAACAGTGTTGATTGAACAAACAAGAGAAGAATGATAGCAATTATTATACAGAAAAGTCCACCGAATCATCATCCCTCCACGCACGTGTGCTATATGCACGCATCCGTGGCATGCCCTACGCGTTTTGCCCGTCGCCACGGCCTCTTCAGGGGGTTTCCCTGCCTTCCACCTCACTTCCTCCCTCCTCTTGACTTCACTTCGTCATCCCTCGTTCCCTTGCCCTTCCCTGCCTTCCACCTCACTTCCTCCCTCCTCTTGACTTCACTTCCTCATCCCTCGGTTTGTATTCAAATTCATAATTGGAGCCTTGGGCACTGGGCCCATTTCCGACCCAAAAAAAAAAGAACTGGTTTTCAAAAAAAAAAAGAAAAAAAAAGTAAACAATTGAAAAAGCATGTGGCACTGCACCCAGGGTTACAGGACGACGGAACCTTCGGGCCGTCGTTCGGGGCCCATCCTGCAGGGGGTTGGGCCCCGCAGAACCCCGTTTGGAGGCCTAAAAAATTATTTTATTTTCTGAATATTTTTTCACTGATAGTCCATCTAGTGAAGGTCCTACCTTCGAATTTTTAGGTCATTTCTTCTTTTTTTTTTTTTAAAAGAAAATCATCTTTTATAAAACCGGGAAACGGGCCCGGCATCTCTCACATGAATTCCGTAGCCAAACCAGGCTGGGAAAGGCACTTTCGGCCAGTCCCATCCCCAACCACGGACCTCCCATAGTGAAGACGCCTGTCTTCAGCCCATCCCGTGCAAATTTTTAGGTCATTTCATTGAGTAAAACAAACATTTACAAATCAGCAAAGTTGGAGGGCTCCAATAAACTGAGAACCCTCTCC